AAACAATTTACACATTTCCATTACCTACAACATTACGGCTGGTTTGAAACAACTTACACCTTCCATTACCTACAACATTACGGCTGGTTTGAAACAATTTACACATTCACATTACCTACAACATGTTGACTATCCAATAAAATTCTAAACTTTATTGAATAACTTTGCAAAGCATCTTTTATCTGGCTTTCCAAAACTTTTTCCAGAACTAATGTAAGACTAATGGGTCTATAATTACTGGGACAATTTTTATCACCTCCCTTGAAAAGAGGAGTTAGATTAGCTAACTTCCAATCCTCTGGTACCTGCCCACTATTCAAGGACTGACAAAAAATAAGAGTAAGTGGCTCACATATCCAATCTTTAACTTCCTTCAAAACCTTTGGGAAAATATCATCTTGCCCAGAAGCTATATTGTATTTTAAACTTCCCAACTTCTTCTTAACCAGCTCAAAATTAATGCAGTCATCTTGTTTGATCTCATTTATCAACTGTTCAAGATGTGGAATACTGCTGAAATCTTTGTTAGTAAAAACCAAAGAAAAAGCAAAACTTAATAACCCAACCTTGTCATAATCATCAGATACTAGCCTTCCTTTATCATCCCTCAAGGGTCCTTCAGATTGCAACTACAAACATTCCACCACTGATTAGACTCTATAGACAAATGAAGCTGAAAATGACCCCATTACAGCTAAATAATCACTAATTTTAAAACTGTAAAAAGTTTTTAATCTACATATTACCTCAGTTTTCTCCATTGTTCTATCACAGTTCTCTTCTTGCTCCTCTTTTGTTAGACCAAACTTCAAAGTGGTATGTGAAGATCTTTCTTCTAAAAAACCAGCTTCTCCCATTGCTAGAAGTAAAAATAACATATCTTTGTCTCTAATATAACTTATACTTTCTAAACCATATTCAAAGTTCATACAATTTATTTAGCTTAACAGCCTTCTTATATAATTTCTTTTGTGATATCTACCAGAAAAGTGCTGGATTTTTTTTTCTTTTTTATAGGTAAAAAAAATGTTTTAACACTAGAGTAAGGTTTGAAATTATGACTTGACAAGATTTTAATCACTTACTTTAAAATTTAATAGTGTTCATAGTTAAAATTCAAGGCATTTATTTCTAATCTAAAATGTTTAGAAATTCACTTTTCAATTCACTTTTGTTTTTACTTGTAAAAAAAAGAAAATTTCTCAATGTTCAAACACACAAAACTCAGACTTTGTATTTTATTTATCTATTTCACACTGTTCAATATTAGTTCATTTGTAATGATAATTTTATTAATTTCTTACCTGTAAGATAATTGTACAAAAAGTTACTTTCAATTAGGTTAAGTGTTGTACTTTGACCAAGTCAGACTCAGTTTGAGTTGATAAAAAGTACTTTAATGGGAGTAGCTAATGGATCACTGGTTTCAGGTTTCTTATGTCAAGGACCAAAAGAATCCTACCTAATAATAAAAATATTACTACTAGTAAGTAGTAATATACGTCTCAGAGTCAGAGACATGAAATCATGTCACAATATAAAATAAGTAATTTGCAATCAATGATGGAAAATTCAGGCACAGTAATTAAAGTTAAATAAAATAGGTAACACTCAACCTTCCAAATCAAACTATTTCAAGCATTTGTCATTTTGTGTTTGGGAGAAGACAAAACATTTAAATTACAAATATAGTTAACTTATAATACACACTTACAACTTGTTAATGTAAAACTTTCTTCATTTTTCACTAATTTGATATCAGATGAAACATCCTGCTCCTTTTCAGAAATTAATTCAACTTTCATGTTCAATTCTTCCATAGTTCCATTAAGTTTCACGTTTATATTATTATTATTAATTGAAACTTAAAGTTAAACTTTTAAAGCTTACTCTGAACTACATACTGGTTAGCAATTAAACTTTAAAGTGTAATGTCTTCGTACTTCAATTTTAAAAAAAACGTTACAAAGTCTTTAATAAACACTAATAACTTTCAAATCAGTTAATAAGTTTCATCTTCACGACTTTACCAAAAACTATTGCAAGTATTCTTTATCTGAGATTAAATGATTTTGAAATAATATGCCCAGTAGTAGTACGAGACCAAAACAATCTTTACAAATGGATCCATGTTGTTTAATCACGTAGGTAACGTATCAATAAGACTGCTGCGAATGGAGGATGTCATGCACTCATATTGGTCAAATGTTGATTACATCACAGATTTGTGCAGATCATTTGAACATACTATAAGCTCAGCGCATGTGCAAAAACGTTTCAGCAGTAGCATGGGGTAATAGCTGTTTGTCCTATTTTTGTATTTACTAAATTATTTATTATTTAAAGAAAAACTCCTAGCAGTTTTTGTGGATAAGATAAAAATTGTGGTATTCTCAGGTGTAACTGATTTCCACAGGAGTGCATTACAATAAAAAAAAGTAGATCCGAATTCAGATAAATGACAGTTTGAACTTAATAAAATAAAAAGTCTAGAAATACGATGTAAAGTTTAAAATAATGTTTACAATTTATTCAGAGCACAAAATACAGTGCGTATTTACATTGATTATCTAGTTTTCGCACTATCATAGCGGCAAAACATAATTGATGGTGTATATCATCATCTTGTTTTAGCCACTTCAGCCCTTTGTTCTTTGGCAGATGAAGTTTTCTGCACATAAAGATATTTCAGAGTATTGTTACGACAGCGGGAGACACGTGACCTTAGTAACACGTCATATTCTCGAAGGTTCGTGAATCCTCGAGTGTTTACTAGAATTGCGGTACTGTATATATAAGACCGCCAAGAAGTGACGGCAACAATGTAATTGAATTGCAGACAGAGATAGATACGGAC